GTATATTTTATATTATATTTTTCTATCTATATTATTTCTAATCTTACACTATTTTTGGTAAGCGTTTACGGTAATAATTGATAGTTGATATACATTTCAAAACAACTATGACTCAGATATCTTTTATACATTTTAATTTAACCTCCGATAATCCGATTTAATTATCACATAATAGACGCAGGACACTATTTCTGTTTAGTGTTTAGTATATGAAGAGATAGTATATGGAGATATTGAATAGGTAGTTTAAAATTTCATGAGTATAGATGCCTATTATAGCCTATAGGCTATAGATAATTAAGAAATGGAATTTTCAATTTTTGGTGTGGTAATAAATTTTTTAATGTAAGTGTAATATTGAAAGTAGGTATAATAGTGACAAATTGTCAACCATTCTAATAGTTCAGAGCTTAAGTGCATAAGCATAACCATGATGAAGTTTTTATTATATAGATTATAGGTACTCATATTTATGTAAAATATTAATATTTTAAAATTCTCATAATGTTAGTGACAACATATATAATGTTCTTATAGGTACCTACCTTAAAGTTTGATAATAGGTCAATTCACTCTAATATAAAAATTAACAGCACACTGACACTATTGAAACTGGTAAACGAAAATAAACGAAACTGGTCCACTGACCAACTGTCCGGTAGGATAATAGGTCCTTATTTTACTACGGGGCACGGGGCCCTTCATTAATAAGGGCACGGGCCATAATTAATAGGGATAGCATATGGTAACACATCTTAAATCTTTTTTATCTTCAACTGTAATTTCTGAATTTTATAATAATTTCTAATTTTATAGAATAAAATAATATTACGATATTCCTTAGTCTTTGATAATATATTCTCTGTGTAATTACAGTTGGAATTATGTTATTTGTATGCAGGGGCGTACCGAGGAGGTTTTTATTGGGGGGCCAAAGTTAGTAGTTTGGCCAACTCTAAAAATTGATCCGGGACAACTTGTTTTTGTTATTTTGTTGTAGCCATTTCATCGTTAAACAGTTAAAATGTTTTAATTATTTAAGTAAATTAAAATTCAAGCTATTATACTAATAGATTATGAAAATTTTTTATAATATATAAAGATATCCATTACAATTATTATATTAGGTAAGTACCACATTTGCAATAAAATAATAAATAATGTTACAAAAAAAAAAAAAAAAACAAAGTAAAAAATAAAAAGGCGGGCAAGTGGGTGTCGCTCTGCTGTACAGTAGGTTCAAGAGGGTCACTGTATAATGGATTGTATTACATTTGAATTCAATGATATTATATCATTGTATAAGAAAAACGATTCTGAGCGGAGACGGTATGTCCTTCTAGGTACAAGACCTATTATATACTTATCTATGGTATTAAAAAAAATTGACCTATAATGAATTCCAAATTAATCATATCACAATATCCATTAGGTACTTATAACGCCTAATACACCAACAACAAACCCTGATACTATCATAGATATATAGTAGTATACTTTAGAAGTTTCAAGTACCCACGAAAAATATTATACAATCACAACAAAATAACTAAAATAGTTATTCTAGGTTTTTTATTATATAATTTCGTCCGAATTTGAATTTAAAATGTCTGTAAAAATAACTGTGTTCATATATTTTTTAGATTTTTTGGTTACAGTATGAACTATTTATGCGAACTTTTGTTTTAAATTTGCAATCCTTAGCAATGAAAACTGAACATTTTATAATTTATTAATTACAATGATTGATAATTTTCGAGATTTTGATAATGTTGTCAAAATTCGATCTTTAAATGCTTATAAAAAAAAATTGTGCCTAAGTATTTTTAAAATTTTTCAATTGCTATTGTAACAATCTATCAGTATTATATTATTATATTGTATTAAATTTTTACACTTTTTGGACCAACAGATAAAACTTTATTGATATTTATAGAAAAAAAAACTAAAAAAATTGAAAACTGAAAATGTCTGTAAACAGCTCAAAAAAAGTCAAAATATTTTCAAAATTGTACAGTATATAGAAAATGCTAATATAAACATTCAGTGAAATTTTCATGTATCTACAGTTATTCGTTTTTGAATTACAACAAAATAAGGAAATCGCTACGTGAGAAATCGAGTGAATATCCAATGTTGTAAAAATTTTAATTTCAAACGCTCATAAAAATTTAATTTGACTTTCTTATAGACATTTTTGTTTTGATAAAGGTAGATAATCTTATAAGGAATCTTGTATTATATTTCAAAATCTTAGATTTAAAAAGAAAAATTTTTACGAATTTTTACTCAAAATAATTTGCTAATTTTCGTGATTTTTCCATATTTTGTCAATTTTTGAACTTTAAATGCTTATAAAAAAAAAATTGTGACTTAGGATTTTTAATATTTTTTATCTGCCTATTAAACAATATAGTAGGAGCCTTCTATTAAATTTTCAAGCTTTCGCAACCAACGAATAAAATTTTATTGATATTTTTAGAAAAAAAACTAAAAACAAATGGAAAATAAAAATGTCCCTAACCAGTTCAAAATATATCAAAATATTTTGAAAATGTTATCGTGTATAGAAAATGCAAATATAAACAACCAGTGAAAATTTCATGTATATACGTTAATTTGTTTTAAAGTTACACCAAAAACCAAAATCGATTTTTTGGAAAACTGATTTTGCGTAAAAATTCCCGTTTTTCCTTAATTTTTATGTTGTTTTTCCCGGCGCTTGTGAAAACTACTAGGAAATTTTTACATAATATTACAGATAAACATAACGTGACGTATAATAATTATTGTAAATAATAGTGGTAGGTATCGCAAGCCTGCAGTAACAAATTAGATGCCATAGACCGAAAACATCAAGTTAACCACGTTCAATTGGCTATTTATAGTATCTGCCATCTGGTATCATTAACATTGGGATTTTCAAACTCCCTCACCATTGCACCTATTCCTCTTATTATTACTGATGCACTGATAACAATTTAGTATTTACTGCTTATTTTTCCGATAATAGACAATAGATATTTTTCTAGTTCAGACAAGACAGTATAATAATATTAGTATATTCACTATATTATTCTAATAACCTTGATTCTAGTCAATATCACCATCACAAATCACAATCGTCAATCGTATACAAATTATTAGTTGGCCATTATGTACAGTTATTGAGTTTTTCATAAATGTAAAATGGCCAACTCAAAAGTTAAGAAACCAATTATTGGGGGGGTATTATGACCACCCTACCCCCCCACTAGGTTCGCCCCTGTTTGTATGTTAAAATTTTAAAAATATTGATGCTCCTCTGACTTTTCTTGAAAATATGGCCTTTTCATTTTTATAATATATTAAAGGTGGGTGAATATTGTTTTACAGGCCCTGCAGTTCACCCATGACTTAACCTAATTAAAAGTGAAGGGAAATGTGTATGAGTTCAATAATTTTCCATCATTGCTGATAATAAATAATAACTACAAATTTAAAAATTTGGATCTTTACGGGGTATGTTCACACCCTATACGTGGTCAAATTTCTTGGAACAAATGTTTCCATTGTTTGTAAATGTGCACAAATGAGCTGTTTGTAACCATATAATAGTAGGTAGCCGGTAGGTACGAGGTACCTAGTATAATAAAATTAAAAAATATCCTTAGAAATGTCAATTTCACAAGTGGTATGTAATAATGGTGGGAGGGGAGTGGGTGTTCCACCGATCACCACTAGTCGTTTTTTATTATATAGGTAGGTATAACTATTTGTGTTAAGACGGGAAAATGTTTTATAAAATATACATAGGTACCTATGTATTTTAATATAACCCTTATCCTATACTGGAAATATCTTTTCAGAAATTGTTTTTCTTATAATTTATCATTGAATTAAATATTAAAATGTAACACGTTGATTTCAGTGACCTACTCAATGACGACGTATTTACACTGGCTACACTATAGAAACCCATTCTACAGCAGGGTAATTTTCCTGGGTATTCATAGTTAATAATTATAAGTACTAAGTAATAAGCGTTTTCCATAAAATTAATTTATAATTTAAATTAAGCTTTCAGTCATAGATATATGTATTATTAATTAATAATCGAGATTTTAATAATTTCGTATAATGTATTGCAATGGGGCGTAACAAGGATTTCTAAAATAGGAGAGCCAATAAAAAACCGTATAAAAATTAAATTTGTATTTTTTGCACTAGACGCAACTTTTATACTTATTAGTTATTAATTATTATATATTAATATCATGCATGACCCGAATACCAGATATATCTATATTAAATACAATAAATAAATCCTATTATTCCTAATGAAATAAATAATACATTTTTATTAAGTTTATTTGTATTGATTTATTACAAGCAACTTACATTTTTTAATCTTTATGAGGTAGCCAGGTAGGTACCCACTTATAATAATTAATATAATATTATTATACCACCAGCTAATGTGTCCAATATTTCAATCCAAAACTTTCATTCTTCTAGATGATTTTTTTGAAAAAGAGGATTGTATTATTTTATTTTTTTAAATTATCATAATATTTATTATTTGGCATAAATACGGCCGTTGTGAGAGGGCATGGTTCTTTGACCCCCCCCCCCCCCCTAGTGGCTATGCCACTGATGTCGGATGTATTATGTAAATAATAAAAAATATAATATGTAAATAATAAATATGTAATACAATCTAATTAATATTCGTGATAATAATATTTTATTTTGGCTCCACTTTACTCGTTTCTTCCATGAAAATGTGTTAACACTCCAACCATAATCAATTGTACGATCCAATGATGATAATGGTGATAATAATGGTATTGGTATATCATACATTCATACCGTCAGACCGCCTACAACCTACTCTTGTAGTACCGTATGGGTAAAATCTAAAATTGTGATATTTCATTAATTCAACATGTATTCGGGTCGAAAAATAATATTTTATAAAAATTAACAACTATTAATGCCGGAATCAAACGGTAACCTAAATGGCAGACGTACAACTTCAATCCCACGAGCTAGACACAAGAGATGATGACAACACTGTGGTTCTGTCTGACGTCGTCAACCGTGTAAACGAACCCATCGTTTACTCAAACACCGACCTTATTGCGGATGTCAGTCGTCTATCGATATCCGAAAACAACGTCTATAGCGGCGATGTAGCGCAAAACAATTTGCCCTGTTTGAATTCTATATCGTCGTCGACATCCTCATCGTCGTCTAGTCAATGTAAGGCGTCGTGTTCGTCTAGTGATGTAAATAATAGCGACCTAGCCCAGGGCTTACAACAAATTGATGGTGTCAAATATGTTTGTTATAAAAACGAGCAACAAATGAAAGATATTATGCGGTTAATACAAAAAGACTTATCTGAACCGTATTCGATCTACACGTACCGCTATTTCATACACAATTGGCCTAAACTGTGTTTTCTTGTGAGTTTTACTTATGAGGTTCTTCAATGTTCATAATACCTATTAATACTGTGTAACATCTGATTACTCAGCACATAAAACACAGTCATGTAAAGCGTTTTGTCCGTTGTTGTATTATGTTCTAGGCTGTAGATGTAGATAAAAGTGTCGGAGCAATTGTGTGCAAGTTAGATGCACACAGGAAAGTTAGAAGAGGTTATATTGCAATGTTGGCAGTGGATGAAAATTACCGAAAACAGCATATCGGTATTTAATCTTATGACAAATAATCTAGTGAACTAAATTAGCATTAAAGATTTTTAAATAAACAAAGTGTCTGTATTTTAGGTTCTAACTTAGTATTGAATGCAATTGAAGCCATGGTGAATGATGGAGCTGATGAGGTAAAATTTTTGTTTCATAATTGTATATTGATTAATTTAATCATACTCAGTTTAAATGCCTAAACTACCTAATTTACATTTCCAAATTTCCAATCTATGATACAAAATTATCAGGTTCTAATTCTATATATTGAAATACTGAATATTTTTTAATTTAAAAAGTTCATAAATTTCAATATCTACACATAATATTATAAGGAATTGTTGAAATATTTTTATTCTTGGCTCACTTTTCCTTATAATTTATAATACATTTTAAATAACTTCTGTCAGTCTAATTTTCTTTGTAATGGATTTAAAAGGATCAAGTGTGTTGATTATCTGTCTTTGTCTAACTCAGTAGATGTGTTTTCATTCCAACCAATTGGTCTAGTAAGGTATTAAGAATTCTAAGAATAGGAATTAATTTGCCGTTAAGTTTACTTCAGATTGACTTGCCCACATTTTTGATTTCTATTTTTCATATTTTTTTTTAGGAGTTAGAAGTATAAAATCAAAAATGGTCGGAAGTCAATCTTAAGTAAATTTAAATCTATTCTCAGATTTGTTTTTGCTCCACTAATCAATTTGTCGGAATAAAAAAACATCTTAATTCCTATTTTGAGCATATGTTAAGTAAATAATGAATAAATCACCATTTCCAATCCATGTTATGTATAAAATGTTATTGATACCTATCTTGATTAAATATAATGCAATCGGTTAAACATAAATATGTTCAGTCAGGTAAAAAAATGACTATTATCTGCATCCTAATAATTAGCTGATCATTTCAATTTTCAAGTCAGAACAAACAAAAAAAAAGCATTGTTCTATAGGTACATCATTAGAATAAAATATTGTTTTATTATTCTGAAAATATGACAAAAAAAATCAATTCTATATACATTTTAAATTAAAGACTAAGTTATTTTTATTGTGCTATCTATCACTACAACACAATATACTCAAAAGTCCTTAGCTCTGATATCCCCTATTTTACATCATAGTGTTTTCATGTATTCACCTATGGAACAATTTACCTATTATTCTTACTTTGCTTGTAAATTAATTAAGTTATACCTAAATACAATTTTTACTTTGTATTTTTACTATTTATGGGATCTATCTTATTTAAATATGCTCAATTTAATTATATTATAATTATTGATGTAATAATTTTTTAATTTGTATATTTTATAATTATGTGTATAGCATTAGTCTCGTGTAATGATATATTGTAATTATTATTGCTATAATATTTAGCTGTGCAATGTTGTAGCTTATATACACTTATAAATATAGTAAAACTTGCTTAAGACGCTTTTCCGCATAAGGCGCTATTTTCCGTCGGTCTCTATATCATCTATATTCCTATTTCATTCCCGCATAAGACGCTTTCCCGCTTAAAACGCTCTAGAGAGCTGGTCCTTAAGCTAGTTTTACTGTATATATTATATACCTAGTTATTTTATATAATTCTAAGTGTCTTACTGTATTTTTGACTCAATACCATAATCATTGATTAAGAAATATAGGTACTTTCAAGTTGACATAGTACTATCTCAGTCTTACTAATGGATAGCAAATTTTACGTTTTACTACCGCTATATTTCTTAATAATATAGTGAATTTACTTTATTATAAGATATTAAATTTTACCTTTACAATTTATAATAAGTCAATTAACTTTGGAGTAAATTGGATTTTTTTCAACATTAAACGTACTATTGTGTATAAGACAACACTTGCGGACACATGGTCCTCTTAAATTAATTATATTACAATCAATGCAAATTTGACTGTATTATTATACAAGTAGTTTAATGCTTAAATAATTAAAATTAAGTACTGATAAATAATTTAAGTGTTTCTTATTTCTTAATCTGAGGGATTAGAACTTATAACAGAGGGTTTATCTAAAACTATGGTACCTATTTATATTTACCTAATGCATTTTATTTAATATTGATATATTTTAAGAGTAATATTAGACATGTGATAATAACGCTATTGAGAAATTTGATTTAATTTTAAAAATAGAAATGAAATATAAATTTTTAATGAATTATATTTTTGTATTTATTACAGGTTGTGCTTGAAACAGAAATCACTAATAAACCAGCATTAAAATTATATGAAAACTTAGGTTTTGTTCGAGATAAACGACTATTTTGCTACTATTTGAATGGTGTGGATGCCTTACGTTTAAAATTATGGCTCAGATAAGTTGCAATGGTACATATTTAAATTATTAAAACGTTATGTGGCAAACAAACAAAAACTGCAAATCTTCTTTTATACTGTGCATACTATGTGTAGATTTAGTTTATTTGATGCATATATTATATTCATATGTATAATAATTATGGTGTTTATTGATTATTACCTGTTGTTATATAAAAATTCTTCAAAATAAAATTTAAAATAAATTCAATAAAACATCGTTTTAAATTTGATTTGTTTCTTAGTTTTGATAGAAGTTCTTCCTTATATATAGACTGAAATATCATATCAATATGACAATAATGGATATTATATAAAACTAGTTTATAGGTTCTATGTTTATAGCTTGCTCTGGTATTTTAAACAGTGGTCTTTAATAATTTTCACTATCTAGAGAATTCAAGCCATGGTTATTTCCAATGTTCGCATTTTTTTATTGAGTATAGGAGTATGTATCAGAAATTGAAGGGTCCATACAGACAACCGTATTTTTTTGGCCAGTGACTGTGTTTCTCCAAGAGAGGTCACCGGACAAAAAATATCAGAATTTGTTTACCATAATTTAACTGTATGTCTGTATAAAAAAAACTAGATTGTAAAATTTTGCCGACCAAATTTAGTTGTCTATTTGGACCCTTATAGTTACCTAATTCTGTAATCAGGTGTGGACTAAAGGTTATTTTGTTCAATGTAAATCACATTTTAAGTTTAAGTATGAACAATGATAATAATAAAATTATAAGTAGACTTATCATTTTTAAAATTTCTTTAATACCTATGTTATTAAAAAAAACCATACAATTATAAAATGTTTTTAGCAGTGTTCTAAGAGTTTAGCTAACATGTCAAATTTGCATTATTATTTTAAAATTGGAGTAAATCATAGATAATAAATTATATAACATAATATATAAAAAGATGTCGCTCTGCTGTACAGTAGGTTTCAAGTGAGTTGCTGTAATGGATGGTGTTAAATTTGAATTTAATGATATTATAATATCATTGTATAAAAAAAAAAACGATTCTGAGCGAAAATGGTCAGTCAGCCTATGTTAATACTATTTGATGATATTATTGTGAATTAACTAATTAAGGTTAACTTGTTTGTTATGGCCCCTCCAAAAAAAATTTTTTCAATGTTTAATATTATTTTATTTTAATAGTTTTAAATATATAGTAGAAAATGTATGGATGAATAGTATGTAGAGTATAAAATTTAAATTCAAAATTGCTGCAAATTATTGTAAGCTTTCCAACAATCTAATTATTGAGCCTAGTCTTATATACCTTTGTATTATAGGTAACAATGTTTTGTCCGATCGATCAGGTACACTGATTATAAAACACGCTTTAGTTTCCCAACATATTCCACCAAAAATCCATTGCTGTGGCAGAATACGCCCAGCATTATTATGTCTACGCACAAATAAACTTTCATCTATTTCAACAAAAAGACTGGGACCACCAATTTCTTTATTTTGATAATTTTCAAGCGTACACATACGTCACAAAGATAATTACTCCAATCAACCACAGCATTTTGTCCCATATATAGTTCATGTTTATAAAATGTTACTAAAGACATTTCTAGGGGACAAGTAGTATATGAAATGGACAATTGTGTGTATTGGTAGTCTAGAACCAGTTAGCCAATTATTAATTCTCAATCCTTTTACCTTTCAGCAACTTCTTTTCTGACATCGCCATCACGATCCCTTGATAAACATTAAATGGCCATTTTCACACACTTCACTAACTTTAATTATATTATATTGTTGTAAAAAGCTAATTCCAGTATCACTGTTTGAAACAATTGTAAGTAATTCAGTAAAATTCATTTTAACATATTAAATTTAATTTTTCGAATTTTTCAGTAGAAGGTAATAAGTAAATGAAATGGTAAACGAAAGCCAGCAACAAACTAATATAATATGTCATAAAAATGATAAAATGTAATTTTCTCATTTTCTAAAATAGATCACAAACGATTAGCAATAGCGATAAATTGTATGAGATGTACTAGTGGGGCGATAACAAACAAGTACCGTAATTTATATACAACCTATTTACGTGGAACCATGTTTTGAAATTTCAATCCTTAGCTATAAAATTTGAACATTTTATACATTTTTAACTACAAAATAATTATTAAATTTGATAAATTTTGTCAAAATTTAAATGCTTATAAAATTGTGCCTATGTATTTTTCAACTGGTATTGTAACAATATATCAGGAGCCTTTCATTAGATTTTCACGCTTTTTACTCAACAAATAAAATTTTATTGGTATTTAAAGAAAAAAACTAAAAAAATTGAAAACTGACAAAGTTCGTAAACAGCTTTATTTTAACAGAAATTTTATGGTGTATAGAAAATGTAAATATAAATATTCAGTAAAATGTTCATGTATCTACGGTCACTTGTTTAAGAGTTGCACCAAAAACCAAAATCGATTTTTTCGAAAACAGATTTAGAGTACAAATTCCTGATTACCCTATTTTTTTTTTATTTTTTTTGTTTTTCAAGGCGTTTTTGCAAACTACTGGGAAATTTTCACTTTTGACCCTTCCAAAGTACCAACTAGATTCACTTTCCTATCAGAAAAGATTCTGTTGAATAAAATCTAAGCATTTTTACTGTCCTAAAAACACAAAAATTTAAAAAAAAAACATACATCATTGTAAATTCAATACATTCATTGCTCCGCTCAGAATCTAAAATAAAATCATACCTAAATAAGTTATTAGTCAATTGACACTTATTAGTTATTACTTAATACCTATTATCAAATATCTGTGTTAGTGCGTTCGTTTATTTAAAAGATAATTTAATTGTGTTCTAAGCTTTTTTAAATAGTAATATTTTCATATTTTAACAGCTCCTAACTGGCTTAAAAATAAAAAAAGGTTGGCAAGTGGGTGTCGCTCTGCTGTACAGTAGGTTACAAGTGGGTCACTGTATAATGGATGATATTAAATTTGAATTCAACGATATAATAACATTGTATGTTTGTACAACAGAGACAATACTGCAAGACATACCCTTGAATTTGTTTTATTTAATATTTTTTTACAATACTTCATTTCAAATATAATAAATATACAATAAAAAAAAAAAAAAATCATAATTATATAATATATAATTAACATTATTTTAAAGTACTTTCCTTGTAAAAAGTATAAAACCATAAGTCATTAAAAATACAATATAACAAATATTTCAAAATCTTATGTTGAGTTATTATTTTTTTTTTTTTTTTGAAATTATAAATTAACTTAGTATCTACAGTAACAGTCAGATTTGTAAACAAAATAGTTATAAATATATGTTAATAATAAAAATCACAAATAATATGTATAGTAAGTTTATTTGATAGTATAAAAAAAATAACTTTACTATATATCTATAGTATAGTTTATATAATAATTTATTCTTCATGATTTTGTGTATACTATTTTATCCACTTAAATAAATATTTCAGTAAGTTGTGGCTTACGGAGGCTTGAGGAAAACTAATAAAAAAGAAAACCATAATGTAACTTTAAGGATCACACAACACAAAAAAAATATTTTCTTTAAATAATAAATTATTGTTATCAGAACTATTAAAAACAATTTGGTCAAAAATACATTCATCACTCCACTCAGAACATAAATAATATTATTTAAGGAGATATTGTGGTATATAGAAAAGTTGAGTGACATAATTGAGCCGAGCGCAATATAATTCTATCATACACGTGTAAGCTCAATTTACTTAATGATTTACCACTCTAAACATTTTATTTCTGATGTTTGATTTATGCATAATTGTGCATTGTGTTATTTGTGCTTAAGACGATAAAAGTATGAGAATTGTGTTATAAAGTTTAGTATTTTTAAATATTCAAAATACTAAAAGAGAAAATAGCCGGCTGCGACTTGCGAAATGTATGTTGTGTCACAATAAATTACTGCTGGTGTAAGTAATCTTTTATAAAATTTTAAATATTTCATAAAAGCTAAATAATTAAGACAAATTTTGGTTTCAGTGCATAAAAACTAAAAATACATCACACATACAACAAAAATTAAAATATATACTTTAAAGTGAAGTAAATTATTGTGTGAAGCGAGCAACTTTTACAGGTATAGACACTAAATTAAGGGATGCCCGACCGATGGCCCTCATATTTTTTTAATTCCTGATAACTTATTGAATTTTGCGAGTATACCTCCACCATTTTACTTAGTATTGAACACTTAAAAATTTAAAATAATATGTTTGTGTTTTGTGCTCCTTTAATAAAAAAAAATCATCAAATGTATATAGCATTAGAATAACTTACCAATCTTCAATGTTTGAGTATCAAATAACATTATAAATATATTGGTATATATTCAAGGTTTAAGGAGACAGAGTAGTGAGTACCTATGACAGAATTAAAAAAATATATTTAAAATCTATAAATTTAATATTTATTATTAGGACTAGATTACATTTGAATATACCTGGTTCTCTATTCACTTTCAGATTCACAAAATATTGGTAATATTGATTGTTTAATGGACATGTTAGCTGAATCATTTTCTTTTTTATAATTTTCCCATGCAGCATTTCTACCATTTTCATCTAATTCTTCAGCCTCGTTGTTTTGTAGTAATGAGTCATGTTCTAGTATGTTCATTACAAGGTCTTCATGCCTCAATATCAATTCAGCCATCAAACGATCCTTTCAGAATTGACATAAAATAGAAAAAAAAAAAATTAATAACTTATTAAAAAAATTAATTTAATATAGGTACCTTAGGCAAATGTAATCTTGATTTAGGTTTGGTAGTATTTGGTTCAAATTCATAAAGTTCTTCCTGACATTTAGCATTAAAATGACGATCAATTTGATGTTCATCGACTACACGGAAAGCCATTGATAACTTTGATATTTGACGTTCATATATTTTTTGCTCCATTGTACCCTTAAATTATACAAAAAATTGTAGTACGATAATATATTTAATATTTTAGAATGAAAAATTAGTTAAAGAAAAAAAATCTATTCCAATTTGGAATTTTTTTCGACATAATTTGGATTTTAAAACTATGGGGGGGGGGGGATAACAATTTATAAAATTAAACTATTTAATTATGAATACAAAAGGTAGAGGACAATACTAAAATATTTTAAACTAAGGTACATAACAGTAAAAATATTGATACTGAAAAAAGCTATTTTTTATTAAATTTTTTTGTTTTATTTACCTCAGAAATGAATCTATAAACATAACATGGTTTAGTCTGTCCAAATCTAAATACACGAAATATACTTTGAACATTTAGAGATGGATTCCATGTCATGTCAAAAATAATAACTCGATTAGCACCAACTAAATTAATACCTAAATTAAAAGCTTTTGTTGACAATAATAATAGACGCATCCTGAAAATAAATTAATTCACAGTTAACTTTATAATAAACAGAAATATAAAAATATATACCTAGTATTATTGACATCATTGAATTTTTCACAATAATCTTCTCTTTCTTTTAAATTGACTGAACCATCAATTCTATAAAAATCTGCACCGTGATTCCAAGATTTACCATAAGGACCACCTTTATCATCAGCTTTATCTTCAGCATTTTCCAAAAAATCTTGGATTAGATCAAGAGTAAATAATGACTGACTAAATAATAACCTATATCAAAGTAAGTGTTTTTTTTAAATTCCCAAACAAAATTATTACATCAAGTACTGTTTTATTAATAAATAAATAAAATAATTCAAATTTAAAGCTTAATATAAAGATTATACATACACTTTATCACCAATTTTTTCACATTCTTGAAGTATTGAAAACATCATTATAAACTTTGAATACGGGTACACCGATTCCAAATCAGAGTTCGACACATATGGTTTCCACCACTTAAGGTATGAATTTGGTTTCTTAGTAATTGATGAGTTAAGAATCGAGATTGGTATGCGCCTATCTACATAATTAAAAATATCACTAGTTAAATATTATATCATATTAAAGTAATTGAAATAAATAGTAATCTTCAATTAATATTTATACAATTTCTTTAAGAAAAAAACCTTACTATACATCAACATTCAAATACATAAATCCAGTCTCAATTGATGTTTCCATTTTAATTAATTATTTTGTAATATTTTTTTATGCATCTCATACAAAAAAATATGTACAAGTAGTGAGTAATACTAGTATTTAATTAAGATATTATTAATAAAGAATAGGTAGTATAAAATAGCTGTTTCTTAAGAATGTAGAAACTATTTTATGAATATAATTTCAACTTACTTTCAACATCTTCAACAGAATTTGAAAAAGAATCAATAAAACTGATGTTTTTAAGTTTTTGTTTCTAAAAACAAAATATATTTTATTATATAGTTATTAGTTATTAATAAAACATTTTTTATATATTATACTTCTCTCTTTGATTCTGTTCGTTCAGCATACACTGCTAAAAGTTTAGGATGGGTCCAAACTATTTGTAGCATATTGTAATTAGTAAATAATTCTGGTTGTCTGAAAGTATCTAAATATTTCTGATATAATTCTATTTGTTTATCAGATAACTTCAAATAAATTACATATTCATGTTTAGGAGGTAAAAAAGGCGTTAGAACACTATAGTCAAATCTCTAGAAAAAAAAAAAAATACAAACATAAATAATAAGTGTAGTTAGTATAATAAATGTATATTATTTCAAACAACATTGCAAACTAGTAACTCACTAATTGTAGTCATAGGCAAGAGCAGACTTGAATTTCAGGGGGGGGGGAAAGGGGTACCTACAATATTGTTGGGACCTTTCTTAACAAGATATGTACATATTAACCAGTGTTCAGTGATATATATAATTACTAGAACTAATTATATCTTCTCTTGGATCTAATATCTATTTTTAAGATAATTACAACGTTTATTTCTTATTTGTATTTTTGAAGTCAATACAATCAATTGCTGTTATAATCATTATAAGATATTCAAGATCAGTGGCGTAGCCAGGATTTTTTTCGGGGAAGGGGAGACTGATAAACTTTTACACTTTTGCACATTAAATACGTATTAGCACAGATACCTAGATAGCTGAAAAGTGTTAATACTTATAGTACATTTTTGAATATTTTAAATACAATTTAAGACTTTTTGAGCAACTGTCATAGACCATTAAAATAATTTTTTAATTTTTTTAACATTTCGGGGGGAAGGGGGCTGCAGCCCCCTCAGCCCCTTTCATGGCTACGCCACTGTTCCAGATATTTTACACAAATTAAAAATGCTTAAGTTTTTTTTTTTATCACAAAACATGATTTATTTTTTATTACATATTTTAGAAAAATTACATTCTATTATAGTTACATCAGTTGAAATACGGGCCCCCTATGCTCTGGGACTTAAATTTTAGGGCCCCAATTACAAAATGTTGGGGGGGGTGTCTCCCATGCAAATGCCTAAGGTTGGTATACTACAGTATACCGTTAATGTAAATACTGCTATTGCCATATTTATTTTACATTTTAAGGATGATAAAAGAGACGATTTCTTTTTAGATGCTTAGTGGAACAATGTTTTTTTTTTTTTGTCTGTGTCCATGATAAATAGTCGACAAAATACTTCGATTCAACTTATTTTTTCTGATGAGAAAATCAATCTAGTTGGTGCATTCGGGAAGTTAAAATTTAAAATTCCCAGTAATTTTTAAAAGTGCCGGGAAAAACAAAAAATTATTAATGAAAAACTGGAATTTTTGGTTTTGGTGTAACTCTAAAAAACTTCCATAGATGCATGAAATTTTCCAAACAAAAAGTGAAATACATGAAAGTTTACCAACATTTTTTTTTAGTAATAAAGCATACCTGTACAAATCCTTCAAGCATTTTATGTAATACATGTGATCTTCCTTTCATCAGTTCTACATCTAGTGGAGTTGAATCAGAGTATTGCCCGTTGGTAATTGGATTTATAAAACGGTTAGTAAAATCTTTTATTGATCCTAATAAATTTGGTCGAATAAAATCAACCATACAATGATCTATATAAAAATAGGGAAAATAAATTAACTTAAGAATGATAAATAAAACAGATACAATTTTTAGGGTATATGTGAGTTAGAACCTAAATAAGTATAGAAATTAGGCAAACAAATTATATTTTTCTGTTCTTATATCATTTTTAACAGTGGAGGTGTATGCAGGGACTGGAGGCAGGGCTTCCCTTTAAAATTAAGGGAGAATAATGTAGAACTATTGTACTAGATTAATTTTAAATTGATGATTACATAATTTATCAAACTCAAATAATCTAAATAATCTAAATTAGAATTTAAAAAAATTTTGAATTCCGAAAATGTTGTAGGATAAAAAGTGGATGAATTATAAACGACGTTGCATTGGATAATTTATTAAAAATAAAGTTGCTGCCCGCCGGAATAGTGAAACGCTGGGAGCTGCGTTGCTACATATTCTATCGTCAACAGCTCATCAAACCAATTACATCATGCCCGTCCAATATACATAATAACTAATAAGTAATAATCTAACTAATAGTTATGAAGTGACTTATGTGTCACATTAAATTTTCCTAAAACCACTCATCTAAAGTGTATTCCATATTGTAAAAATTAATTTAAAAAAAAAATAATATAATAATAATTGGAACCTAACCTACCAAACAAATATTATTTATAAAATATATAATAAGTAATAAGTAATAAATAATAATTTATTATATTACATATTCACAAAATATATTATTAACAAAAGAGTGATAGGTTTAACCTTGTCATTGAGAAAGAAAAATATAACTATTTACCCAGTATCTTTTTCAAATTTGTATACTAATTAATCAATATAATTAATAGCTATTAACTAACATTATGTTTTAAATCATTTATAGAATTACAACTAAATTGTATAATTATTTATGTAATAATATGTGTAGGTAATTAGTTATATTCTAATAATTAATTTGGTAATCATAATTTAGTAGTTATGAGCCAGTAGGTAAACAAATACATAAAGATTATTATTTTATTGGATTTCGTTATTGATTTAAGTATTTAGTTTATAAGTTTTTACAGAATTAAATTACCATGTTATTTGTGAGCTTTATAAAAAGGTAACATTTTAAATTTTATATGAAAAAAAAGTATCTGATGTTTCACTAACTTAAGTTACTTTTATTTCCTAGCTATATCTTGTAGTTTTTACAAGTCTTAAAAAAAGAGAAAAAACTTCCAACTTTTAATTTAATTTACTTTTTTAACTTAAAGAGTAAAAAGTATTTAACTTGCCAAGCCTTTCTAAAAAGACTTGCAATACATACATTCTTTTAAATTATTTTGTAATGGTGTTCCAGTTAACACAATTCTTCGAAGTGTTTTAATACGATTAATTGATTTTGATACTGCTGTAACATGATTTTTTATTACATGTCCTTCATCACATATGATCAGATCTGGACCCGGATCAACGAGTCCTTCTAAGATTGAAGGAAACTTCTCAATATACTTGTAATTAACGACAGATCTATATAACTCATAGCTTGTAATCAAAACGCCATGTTCTCTTTGCCATTCATCAATAATAGTTTTCCGACTTTCATATGTTTTTGATCTAAAATTAAAATTGTTTAGATAATTTAAAACTAATAACTTATGTCATAATATTTTAATAATGTTCTTACTCAGCTAAGTTAAGTACAAAAAAATGTTTTTGTTCATCAATACCATGTAACCATTTATGAAATTCTTTGCACCAATTTTCAATTGTTGCATTGGGAGTAACAATTAATACAGTTTTAATACCAGTTTCTGGGTACCTAAATAATGTATGCACCAAAGCAATTATCTGAAAAAAAATTGTTTATATTTCATAGTAGATATTATAAAAATAATTATCTTTATATAATGAATCACATTTCAATAAAGAAAATTGATTTCATAACATAAATGAATAGTTTTCTATTTTGTTTTATACAATATGTTAGGTAAATCAATACAAATAATTTATTAAGCTTGTTAATAATTTTTTTTTTTAGAAAAAAAATACCATTACCAATTTATAAGACACAAAATTCTGGAATACAATGATTATTTTTAATTTAAGTAATCATTTTATTCTCTTTTTTTATCTTTAATTGTAGTCAAAATTAATTTTTCTTATAGGAATTCAGGGTTAGGGATTAACTCATTAAAAATGATTTATATTAAATTTGGAAATCAATTACTTATGATTTATGAGACTATGTTGAACAAGATTAAAATTAAAAATAAAAAAGTACTACATACTTGTAGAGTTTTACCAAGACCCATACAATGAGCTAAGATTGATCCATTTCCTTTATGTTCTTTTATTCTTGATAATGATTCAAATACTGAATCCCACAAAAATTTAATTCCTTTCACCTATTTTTATTTTAAATAAATATGTCAAGTTCAACAAAACTATACTTGGTTCTTAGAATGCGTTAGTCTAACCTGATGTGGTTTGAGAAACTTCACTAGATCTGGATGAACTGCAACAAGTTCCTCATTTGTTTTAACATCAAAATCTAGTACTAACTTTTTACAGGATTCTGTTTCCAAGGGTGTTGGTAAGTCACAAATTTCATTATACTAAAATATTTAAGTGAACAAATTTACAAATACACCAAATTCAAGATAAAACATAAAGTTTATAACGGTATATAAGTATACATACTAGTTGTTGACGTTCCTGAATGCGTTTTTTCCGTAGTTCTTCTTCTTCTATGGCATTTTGGGTAGATTCACTGAGTTCTTTTTGTGTTATCAATCTACGAATATTTTTTCGCCCTTTTATTGATATCTAAATAAACAAATTAGAAATCTTATAGTTTATAAAAATGTCAATATATTAAAAATAATACATATAAGTCAGTATCAAAAAGTATTTGCAAGAAAAGCAATTTTAGTGCAAGTACTTTGGGATATATATATATATAAAGTAAATTAAAGGTTTGGAAATCAAAAAATTCATTTTTCAAAATTTTTTGTTTCAAGGATTTTTATATAAAGAGTTCAACTTATTGACTTATTGACTGTAATTCACAAAATGTACTCTTTGGAGCATTACTACTATGCAACATATAATAAGTCATAAATCAGTAAAATAATATGGTTTTATATCATTAACTTTTCCATGGTACTACAATAATGTACTAAAAATAATACAATTTTTTTTGACACACTGAATATATTTTTTAAATACAATAGTATACAAATTTGGAATGACATGGAAAAATATGCTTGGAATGTTGATAATACGTATTGTGTGATCGCCGATGGTCACATGGCAGTGAACATGTAAAATTTAAATGTAACTAGCTGATCCCGTGCACTTTGTTGCCCGTTAAATGTATCAACTCTATATGACTCAAACTTTGTTCAATCTGTTATTTAATATTCAGTGTGTGGTATTCAAAATGTATCTTAACACGTTCGCTGCGTAAAACGCCAATTGGCGTCATTTATCTTGTTATTTAATGGACTATAATTTGGTCAGCGTTACGATTAAACTTTTGGTTTATTGTCAGCGTCTTCTATAAGCATTGTTTCATAATCAAGTGCAAACTGTACATTGATATTTTAATTTTTCAATTTTTAGGAAATTTTTTTTTAAAACTAGAATTTTATCAGCGTCACGACAAGTATACAAAAATATGATACGCAGTGAACGTGTTAACTTTTCCATTGCCCCGAATAAAAATTTTTATTCTCAGCAGTTCATTATCAAGTAGGCAATCTATCTGCGGTAGATCGCGGACCCCGTGCAGTTTGTATGTAAGTGTATGATTTAACTCTAAAGTATCATAGTTATACCAAGTTTGTCGTTTTTACTTAATTCCATCTACGGTAGATAAATATAATCAATTTATACAAAATCCTATCCTAACTTTACCCTACTAAAATTTATAAAAAAAAAACAAATTTAAAATAGTTGGATTTTTATTCAACAATGACGACAAAGTGCACAATGCCACGCTGCCACAGAATAAAATATAATAAATGTACATTGTCGCCGCCGCCGACGACAATGCTACAGTACTGCAGTAGACTGGGGTTATACCGGCAGCAGCCGGCGTCCTCAACGAATGCCGTGCCGCTATGTAACAATACGGCAAACTTAATACTACTAATAACTATTTTAAATTTTAAGTAATTAATTTTTTGGACTTTTCTTTTTTGAAGGCTCATCTGCACACCGAGTACTTGCGTTAGAAAAATAAATCATGAAAATCGGTCCAGTAGAACTTCAGATATAACTGACATAAGAAATCACCTCACATTTTAATAATATATAAAGATAAAGATATTTCAATTTTTTATTTTAAACAGTTTACTAGTAAAAACAAATATAAAAAAGAAAACTAAATAGGGTATATGAAATTAATTTGTTTCATATTTAATTTAAGTGTTCATTCTATTTTGTTATTTAAAAATAAAGAGTGGTAGCAAGGGAGTGAGCATCATTAGTTGTAAATAATAAATGATATAAGTTACTTAATATATTTGTAGGTATACTTACAATATGATCACTTGATGCTTTATTATTATCAGAATCTTCATCAGATCTCTCATTAGACAGTTGTCTACTATAAAACATAACATTGTTAAATATTAAATAAAAATAACTTGAATCATATGAAAACATACTTTCTTCTACGTTTTTTAACCGTTATATCAGTTGATGAATTTTCATCAGAACTACTGCTGCTGCTGCTGCTGTTGCTAGTCGATAAATCAAATAAGCTTTGTTTAATCGTTTGATTTTTAGTTTTTGGTTTTTTAATTTTTTTGATTGATGAATCTGAATCATTTGACGAGTCGGACACCATCAGCCTTCTTAATACAACAACAATATTAAACATTTTGAGTTAGTAATAAGTAGATAAAAAAGTGAACAATAAGTTGTATATAATATATTAATATAATTAGCCTTCTAGAGTCAATATGAAGTAGGTAGTATTAAATATAATATTATGTCTTTAAAAACAAATATAATAATATTGATTTAATAATTTTAACAAGAACAATTAATAATTTAAAATTTAAAATAACATGAAATGTATATGTCATAGTTAGTATATGGTATATGTTAAAAATTAAATACAGACATAATCAGGTCATTTCTATAGAAATTTATTTATTTTCATAAAAACATTATGCTTCATTATAGGAAATACAAAACATGAACGGAAAAAATTATAATATAGTAGTACTTAAAATAAAATGTCTTTCAAAAATAAGTAGAGATTAGTTTTAAAAAGTATATTCAATAACATACTAAAGGCTCAGTCAAACAGAGAGTGGGCCACCATGGTGTACGGTACGCTGACCGCAGCTGGCAGAGGTCGGTTGTATTATTTTACAGTGCCTGGGAGGGAGGACCGCTTTTTGTTTGACTGAACCTTAATGGTTTTTTAATATAAATATAAAATTACTTTTTTGTTCCTTTTTCTTTAATAAATTCAATAGCAGAATCATTATCATCATTACAAACTGATGGCATACTAAATGAAGATGACTGTTTTGAATAAGTTACAATGTTTTCATTATTATGTTCATCAGATGTTACGGGCATTTCCTTAAAATACAATAACATTTTAATAATTACAATCAACTAACAGTTCGATGAAAAATTAAGAATTTAACTAATTAATTAAAAATAAAGACATAATAAATTGCAGGAACTATAATGGAACAAATTAATTACAGAATTGCGTTTTTTGTGTACATATAGTATAATTAGTATATACTTGGTAAATAGTATGCTCACTATAATTTTTTCCTTTAATATGAATTCAATTTTGATTTTTTTAAAAACTGAGATATAATTTATGGATAGCAATGGATTCTGTGATAGCAATAAAACTTTCTTCTTTTGTTATTATGTCCATGCATTTAAATTAAAATGAATGTTTTTTGAGTTATTGATCTTTTTGTACCAATAATTGTACATTGTACATGTCATAGTCCATGCAAATAGGTAGGTATAGAAAATAAACGATGTATGATGATTTGAAAATTATAGTTATTACTTATTAATACTTAAAAAAAAATAAGTTGGTATCACTCAAGAATTTCCTTAAGGGGATTCGATACCGTGATTTTCTGTTTTTGTCTAATACACAGGCGACATAGTGTTTTAGACGTGTTTTTTGCTAAACATTCTAGTTGATCTATTGAAGCGATAAGATTTCTGAAAACAGATTTGAATTTGTCGTCAAGTCTACTTGAAATCGACTTTCCCACATTTTTGATTTTATGATTTTAACTTCCCCAATAATTGAAATACCATAATTTTTAAATACTCTTTTTGAATATGACATTTTAAAAAATTTGGGGGATAATATCAAAAATGTGGAAAAGTCGATTTCAAGTAGACTTGACGAAAAATTCAAATCTGTTTTCAGAATTCTTATCGCTTCATTAGATCAATTGGTATGTTTGACAAAAAACACGTCTAAAATACTATGTCGAGCGTGTGTTAGACAAAAACAGAAAATCACGGTATCGAATCCCCTTAAATTATAAAAAAATCAATCAATTAATCATCAAAAACAAAGATTTGTGGTGAAATTTTCAATTATATATTGAGATGGAGTTTTTATCGTATACCACTGTTGGAGTATAAATACTATGGTGAATTAAAGTACAATTATTTTTAACGTTTTGAAGTAAGTAATACATTAAAAACTGATGAAACATCAGATATACTCAAATAGTAGTGAATTATTTCGGTCATCTTAGAAGGCTTTCTTTATTAAGAGGACATCACACCTGCATGTGTTGTCTCCATCTTCCTCACGTACGACATAGACAAAACGCGTTTACGCACTCTAAGTAGAACTTGCTCAATTGTGGTGTTAGAATAAAAACACCAATATAACAATATTTTGGATAATACGAGTTTTTTATCTACATCTACGGCCTAGAACATAATACAACAACTACGGACAAAACGGAAATATTGTCACAACTAAATTTTAGAATAGGTATTTTTTCTCCAGAACCAAAATTGAGCGAAATTTACTCAGACTGTGTAAACGCGATTTGTCTATATTGTATATGTGTAAGACAACACATGAGGGTGTGACGTGTTAAATATTATGTCAATAATAATTATTAATACAACTTACAACAATCTCAACATTTTCTATTTCATCAAACCCATGAATAGTAATCTCTTTACTGAAGTCTAATTGTGTTTCTTCACAGGTTTTAGTATCAATTAAATTTGAATTTATCACATCTACAAAAAAAAATTCATTTTTTAACAAACACTGCAGAACATTAAAAAACTAGAAGTTTGAATTGTATATAATATTACAGAAGAAAAATTAGTCAAGCACAATTAAAACCATTAAATTTAAACAGAATTGGAAAGCTAAGAAACTGAACTCTCAAACTATCTCTATTAATGTATTCATTTATTTATATTTCAAACATTTTTTGTTGATAAAAATGGAAATATCATTAATTAAAATTGGTGCTATTTATTATTAATTTGAAAAAGGTTTTTTTTTACTATAGTTATATAGTGTAATAATTGACTTGTAAAGATTTTAATTAATAGATATCTAATAACTTAATAGTTAATTGGGTGTAAATTAAATACCAAAAATATTGTGTGATTAGAAGACGTTTATTATCAATGGTGCGGTGAAATTTTTTTTTAATCTTGGACAAAAAGTTGTGTATTTTAGTGTAGGACAATTTGTTAGCCCCTCCAACAAAGTCTTAGTAAGCTCCTGAGATGCTTGAATTACATTTTGAAGCCTTTGGTTAAATTGAAAATGTTTTGAATCTTTAAGTACTAAATTTGCATATTTTAGTGACTTCAAATACATATTATACTTTGTATCAAATAAGAATCTTTTCAGGCAGCGAGCTACCTTGCATGTCTGTGCATGGGAGCGTTACTTTATTATTCCATTAACTGTCTAGCTCGCATTTTGCTAAGATGTAGTAATGTATTTTTTTTTGCAAAATATAGCCTTTTCAACGAGCATTTCACCACACCACTGTGAATTATTAATTTAATATTGAATAGGAACAGCAATTTTTCATTTCAAAACATAAATTAAAATATTAATTTTATAAATACCACAATCAAGCTCATCATTTTTTTTAAACTTATTAACTTCGTTTTTCGGAGATACTTTCAAACTTGTATTTTTAGTTTGGATTATATCAGTATCGTTAGTAATAACTTCATCACTTCTGATTTTTTTTTCGGAACAGTTATTAACTTCATTCAAATACATCAGACTAAAATAAACAAATGAACATTACATTATTTTACAAAGTTTTATATACTAATATTGTTATTCTAAAATAAAAGTTATACCTATTATTTTCTTTTCCATCAGATTTTTCATTGAGTATTTTTTTATTTCTTGTTGAGTTTATAGCTTGGTTTCTTGTCTAGGTAATATTTAAGACAAATTTATAATTAATAAACACTTGAAACATATTTAATTTTTAATAATAGCATAATATGAAAGAAAGAGCAAAATAAAACAATGGCTAGTTATATAATAAAAAATCGTAAAAATATACTTCATTTAAAAAAACATTAACATTTATCAGTTATTTAAACAAGGAATAGGATCAAGGTTATTTTTAACATCAAGCATAATCACCTATTAAAACTATTTTGAAGGAAATAATGTATGATTATTTTTTAAGTTAATAGTAATAATATTTGGAATTTTTTTATATAATAACATATTTTGTACATTATATTGAGTAAAAACAAAACTTTTTAGTTTATCAAAATGGCCATTGTTAAATCATCTAGATATTGTTCTATGCAGGGGAGTGCTGAACATTTATAAACCATGATGCCCAGCATTTATTTCAGTATCTACCCACTCTTTATTCCCTTAATATAATATATGGTATAAATGTATACGCCTAGGGGTCATAAAACTGTTCAGCATACCACTGGTTCTATGGTTACACTTTATAATCTATAAATTTTTTTACCTTTATTACATTTTGATTGCTCAATTTTCTTGTGTCCTCTATTCTACCATCATTATCATTATCTTCAACTAAATTTTCAGGATCAATTATTGTATCTTCTACTGAATCAATATTAACTTCATTAGATGACTTGTTATTAATCACACTTAAAGTATTGGATTTGTTCAACTGCTTTTTAGCAACAGAAACAGGTAATTTCTTATTTATGACTTTGGGTTTTGATAGCAAGCCTGAAGAAAAAGATATCTTTGAGTTTAAATGATCAGCATCCGTTTTGTGTTTATTTTGTGATCTTAAAATTCTTGTAGCACATTTGTTGGAATTATTTAATAATAGTGTGCTTGAATTATTTTGTATTACTTCATCTAAATTTGAATTTATTTTTGAATCACTTATTAACATATCTTCATCTTTATCAATGCATAAAGATCTCATCATATCACATACACTATGACTTAAATGTGATCTTACATTAAATATGCTCTTAAAATTGGTTAATGTAGAACAGGTTTTCTCTAAAATATTCTCAAAAATATTGAAAAATCCATTTAAATGTTCATCAGGAAGAACAGCATCAATATCATCAAAAGAAAATTCTGATATTTTGTTTATTATAAATAACTTGTATGGTTTTAAAATGAAATCAGCGTATAAGTTGTTTTTAATGCTACCTATTAAGGAGTTTTGTCCAATTTTAGCTTCTTTAATTAAGTATTTTTGAACAGTTTGTTCATGTTCTTTTTCATTTACTAATAAACCATTTGGCATACATCTGAAAAAATAAGTAAAATACACATTTATAAGTAACTCAATTAATATATTACAGAATAATGAGGTTACAAAGGTTATTTCATACAAATTTAAAAATCAAAACTAATGATAGGTACCTATCAGATTTGAAGCAGTTATTTAAAAATATAAAATTTAAGATGTTTTTAGGAAATAAATAATTAGAATATTTACTTACAACTGAGAAAAAAATACTTTTAACACATTAGCAGCTTCAGCTCTTTGTTTCCATAACATTTGTGGTACACAAGCAAAGCATTTATTTACAACACCATCACACATTTGTTCAATTTTATAGTTATCAACACACCGCTAAAAACATTCAATATGATTATTTTTATGATTATTTTTAACAAAATTACAGTCGTGTCTAGATAACTAATTTTTTTCTTGACCCTTGAAGTGTTTGAGTTACATACTCCAAAACATACATAAGTCAAATTAATTTTTATTCTCATTGAGATTCTAGTTATCGAGACTCGTCTGTATACAAATACTTTTTTCCCTATCAATTAAAATTTAATTTAATTTAATAAAATAATTTAACAATACAATTTTTAATTACTTTACAAATATTGAGATTGCATTTTATACAAATAGACTGATCTTTGTTAGATGTGCATAAGATACAACTATATTTATGGCCATCATACAACTTGTAAAAACAATTCTGAAAAAATAAAATATTAGTACAAACATAAGTATTTACACACTCAGTAAAGAAATAGTTACGTATCGTAATAAAAATTATTCGTCATTAATCATTATTATTTTTAAGTATAAATTCTAAAAATTGCACGTCATAAGACTTTTAATAATTAATAGCTCTGTGAAACAATAAAAGTCAAACAGAACTAAACAAGGTTTGACAAATAAACAATTGATTTATCAATTTAATATGTATCTTAAACTCTTAAAAGCTAGGTACAAGGTATATTATGTACCTAAGATTCATTATTTTAATAAATAAAATTATTATAAACAGTAGAATTCCAATTATTCTGACTAATTAATGTCAGGAACAGTCTAGATACGCAAAAATCTAGAAATATTTTCCACTGTATTTCCACTGTACTCTTTTTTCAAAAAAACTTACTTTGCAACATAGGAATAGATGACTTCGATGAACCATTATTGTTTTCTTCAAAATAATATCATTTAATAGATCATCGTTACAAATTGTACATTCAACTTTAGTGTTCAAAATGTCTTCAACAACTAGTAAAATAAAATAAATTGTAGTAAAAAGTAATAATACTTATGAATTAAGAATAACTAGTCACTAACTTTAATCAGTAATTGTAAGGTATTATAATAATATTTTTTATTTAACCAGTAGAACATTTATTTATTTATTTAATATAAACAGATGTCAGTCCTGAAATATAATAATATTAACATTGTTTTACACATTGATACGTAAAACAATAATTTATAGTTAAATATATACTTAAAATTAGATAATGAGTAAAATAAAAATGCTAAAGTAGATATAAAATACAAATTATTATTCAAATAAAATCAAAGACAAAAGTATTATCTGCAGTCATAAGAAGGTTAGCAGGAGAGTTCAAGATATAATTTTTTGTTGAAAGAAGTGGATAAAAGGGTTTTTGGATCTCTAGTATTAAGGTAATTAATTTTAAAACGGATTAAAGGGAGAATTTCAGGACAATCTATTGAACCTAATATTAGTTTTTGTAAAAATTTAGAGAGTAAAAGTGTACGACGGTCAGAGAGTAGAGAAATAGAACCAGGAATGTAGATATAAGAATGTTGTGTAAAATGTGTTTCCGTAATGAGCGCAATGTCAATACGTTTATTGTGAAGCACGAATTGGAGCTCATTTACATGATTTTTTATACCATTGGCGTTAAAAAGAAGTATTGTGAGGGATTGGTTTGTGAAAGTGTTGTTAGTCATTTTTTTTATCGAGAAGACAGATTATTACTTTGGTAAGAAGGGCTATTAAAGCTTTGAATTCTTGCAGGAAGCTGGACATTGATTTGTTAGTGTCAGGAGATGCAGAGGAGGAGGGGTGGTTGTTATTTTGACCTTATGTAGCCTGCGCATAAGTGGTTTCATGGGTATGTGTACGATTTGTTGGGTGGCTATCTTGAACAACGCGTGACTTATCTCTAATATTATTAAATTGAAAGTTACTTGTGGGTTTTTTGCGGCGTTAAAGGTCCTTGTACACTGAACAGCCCCTGTAGCTGGCCGGATGAGTGCCTTGGCAGAGCGCGCACTTCGGCGGAGTACCAGGTGGATTTGGACAGTCAGAGGAGGGATGAAAAGGAGGGGTGGTAATTCGGAATCTACATCCAACAACTCCAACTAGTCTCTTAAAATCTGAGCTAGAATTCCTTCATTTTGAAGTAAGATCTGTGACCAATGTTTTTCACAAAACAGATAAATACCCTCTCCCGCTCTTTTTCGTTGATCTGGAACCTGTCCCCTATTCAAACGATATATTCAAGCTGTCGTCTCTGCTACATACAGAACGTTACCTACAAAATATTTTTCATACTGTTTAGGTAGTATACCCACCCATTGTAGGTATGGCCCAAGGCCCAAAAGGGGGGGGGGGTCTGGACCCGGGAACCCCCACATTTTTCCGCCATTGGTTGAACTATAAACATCCTCAATTCTGCTGATTCTTTTCTAGAATTAGGCATTTTTCTTAGCATAAATTTAATATATTTACAATAGGTACCTAAATAACATGGATATGTAATATTGTAGAATATGATTAATTATTTAATATTTTAAATTGATTTTAAAATTGTACAAGAATTAATAGAAAAATAGAAAATGTGATTATTACATTTTAAACATCCCATAATAAATTACCATAATAGTTAACAAAAGACAAGAAACAAGATAAGTCATAAAATTAATAATTTTTTTCATAATCGATATTGATTGATATATTCAAAATAATAGAACCAAGACGTTCAAATAAAACTCTTGATATCACTTGGTCATGACATTATCCACGATATTTCAGTTGACATTTTTAAACAAGTCTTTATTAGATAATATTATACTTTATTACTATAGACCAGTGGCGCCGAAGTCCATGCCGTGACCCGACCTCTTTTTTGAAAAATGTGGCCGGCCGGCCATATTTAATTTACATCATAACTTTATTATAAGCATGAGTAAATTTAAACCGTGATTATGAATAAATTTATATTAGGGTACCTCTATATTAAATAATTAAGATATTGAGGCCGGGAAGTTTTAAAATTGCCCGACCACATTTTAAAAACTTCGGCGCCACTGCTAAAGAGTATAGACACTTCTGAAATTTATACAAAATAAATACCCAAGTAAATATATAAATGCTAGATTAAAGCACCAACCTACCAATTTATCCAACTTCTTAACCACAAACTAAAATAAAGATAGCTAAGATCTTGATTCTCCACTAAATAATTTAATTTTAAATAATCAACAGAAAGAAAAATATAGGTATGTACTATATTTTGTTTATACAATCTTTTTTTATTTTTATGTCGTATTTTTTGGCCAGCTGTATTGTAATATATTATATTATTTAGACAATCTTTTATTTAAAACTATATTTTTACTTAACTTGTTTTAAATATTATTTACTATTTTTTTTATTGAAATTAAGATAAAAGATTTTTTAGTTTACAAAAAAAAAAAAAAAATTACTATGAACAAAAGCTAAAAAATATGTGTTAAAAATAATAATTTTATATTCAAAGGTAAATAATAACTAAAAATAAAAACAAAAAAAACGGGGGGGAAATATCTGCCATTCACCTAATGTGTGGTTTACTCTTGCATTTGTCATTTGGCATACTATAATGATGAGAAAAGCAAACAAGAATCCATTGTTTCTTTTTTGGGACTAAAGCAGTCACTGCAATGGCCAATATTATCTTCGTTATGACGTATTACTGTTATATTATACTGATATGTAAATTAGTTATAAGATTATTTGTGTTAGGTTTGTATTAGGTTTTTCCAATAAATAATATTATACTGACATATTGTAGGTACATTATTTCTTAGGGAGATTCTAAGTTATTATTTTAATATTAAAATGCAAATATAACTAAGATATAATTTTATTCTATTTTTATATATTTTTTTCATCTATATCTTTTTATATTGTACTCACAAAGTCAATTCATTTAGTACCTAATTTTCCTTAGTAAATTAGTTTTTAGGTACCTATTGTATTTATTAATTTAGTACAAAATACAAATGGTAGGTAATAGGTACCTGTGCTAAAGGAATTGAAGAAGTACCTAGATAACGAATAAAACGAACAAATTTAGATTTTAACTACCTTAATACCTATTAATCTGCCTTGATTTAGTATTACTCACATTATAATATTCATATAAAATTACATTTAGGTGCTTACCTATTTTTAAAAATAAAAAACTTACGAGAAATTGAATTCTGAATGAATAAAATCCATTATAATAAATGTATTTCCTATAATTATTCGATGACTCCACTATAGACGTTCACATAATATGTTAATATGACACACATTTTATATTTGTGAAAACAAGTAATTCATCTTAATTCGGAAGTAAGCAATTAATTAATCATTAATAAAAACACTTAATATGTACATACCTACATGGAATACACCAATATAAATTATGTAAGTAGGTAGGTACTAATAAACCGATAACTTTTTAGATAAATACATAATAATATAGTGCTTATTAACCTAACCTTACCGTTAAAATGCAAATAGATACAAAATATTTATATATATTATAACCACGGACTATATTTAATTAAAATAATATACATATGCCAGGTAGCACGGAACAGTTTATTAATTGAATGGTTCAATAAAATGTAATGGACCAATCATGGGCCACTAAATCATGTTCAAGGGAACATTAGCTCATTATTGATTCACTAAATGTTCAGTGATTGTTGAACCTGGCAATAATATACTTTTGTCTATTATAAAACTATAAATATATAAATTATTTCATATAGGTACCTTTAACATAATATTATTATATAATGTTAGACAATGTTGCATTTACCTCCAAAATGTTGTTTGCGGAATTGTATTTCATCGTTATTGGGATAAACGGTTTCCATGTTGATAGATTGAAGAACTTGGATGCTAACCAACGCAGCAACGCCACAAAACTTCCTAAATAGTAAAAACTAATTCATTGAGAGACGAGAGTTGAGAGTATCCAGATTTGAGACAATGAGAGCCAATAACTAATAAGGCAATGATTGAATAACAAAATATAACAATCAATTAATGAATTAACTATAAATCACATGTAGCAACTAGCAGCGCAACGCGTCTTCATGATTAGGAAAGTATGCTCCGTACCAAATATGAAAAAAGAGCGCCTGGCCGGGTCTATTCGCTCTGTCATTGGTCGCCGTTAGTCGGCCGTGTTCGCCTCCGACACTATCCTGCCGCCACTGCATCACGCTGCTGTAGCGCTGTCTGTCATGCTCGAGTTTCGACCGGTTTTCGTCCGGTGCACTCTTAATTCTTGTCTCTTATACTTTACAATTACAGTCTTATTTGGTACCTTAGGGCTCAGATCATGATCTAAGTTTTGTACAGAATATAGGCACAGAATATTATTTCATATATTCTGTGGTAACGCCGCCTACAGATCACCGTGAAATGTGATTTCATGAAGAATATTCTAGAACTATGATTGGTTGAACCGTGTGGTTTTCTAGTGGGTAACAATTTATGGTCCGTTGACTTTCAGAGAAAACTTTGACCGATTAAAAAAGGTTTTCTTCGTATGGATTTTCATCTTCAAAATAGGGAAATTTGAGGTGTTTGGTGGGATTGACCTGGCGACACTGATCATTAGGTCATTCCACAGATTTCAATATAGTATTAGATAACGAACTCCCGCTAGAGATGGTTAACAGTGACAAAATTTGGTCACCGTGACAATGGTGACAGCTACTAGCTAGAGATGGTTAACAGTGACAAAATTTGGTCACCGTGACAATGGTGACACTGTGACAGCTACTTTAAAGTCACCGTGACTTTTAATGGTGACTGGTCACCATTTGTTTTGCGCAATATATATTATTTAAGTTACTCAGTGACCAATAACCATCATAGCTAGAGTAAAATCACGTCGCTGTTTAGTTTGTCACCGCGACAACAGCCTGTTTCACACTAATCTAACACCAGTGCCAACCTCTAAAAACACAGTCACTGTACTCAGTAGTCACTGTCTAGTCACCAAAGTCGCTGGTCACCATTAATTTTGGGCAATTGTCGCAGTGACTAACAGCGACACTGTTGTCGCGGTGACAAAGTAACGGCGACGTGATTTTGCGCCCATCTCTAGTAATTAGTATACCTAGACTGACATAGTGACATACCGTCTCGGCGTCTCCGCTCGGTATCGTTTTTCTTATACAATGATATTATATCATTGAATTCAAATTTAATACCATCCATTATACAGTGACCCACTTGTAACCTACTGTACAGCAGAGCACCTTTTAAAATTTTTTTTTCTATGAATATCAATTAAGTTTTATTTGTAGGCCAAAAAGTGTGAAAATTTAATACAAGGCTCCTGATATATTGTTACAATAGAAGTTGAAAAATATTAAAAATACACCTTCACAATTTTTTTTTATAAGCATTTAAAGATCGAATTTTGACAAAATTTAAAATTGAATAATTATTTTTTAGTTAAAAATGTATAAAATGTTCAACTTTTATTTCTAAGGATTGAAAATTTAAAACAAGATTCCACGTAAGTAGTTAATTCTGTTACCAAAAAATCTAAAAAATACATGAGCAAATTTTATTTTTATAGTCATTTTAAGTTCAAATTTGGACGAAATTACATAATAAAAAACCTGGAATAACTATTTTAGTTATTTTGTTGTGATTGTATAATATTATTTGTGGGTACTTGAAACTTCTAAAGACTAAAGTACCTACACTAGTACACTCTGTCTAGTGTCTAGTGTCTACTATATATCTATGATAGTCAGTGGTTGAATTGGGGGGGGACGCGGGGGGACGGAGTCCAACTTCTATTTTTAAAATATTTTAGCGTACCCCTTCTAATTACAAGAATTGATAAGACATTTAAATGTTGGGGGGACGCACAAATGTTTTATACTTTTGCATACCCCTTCTATTTTTTTTCCAATTCAAGCACTGTAGATAGTATCAGGGTTTGTTGTTAGTGTATAACGCGTTATAAGTACCTATAATGGATATTGTGATCAAAATAATATAGTAACCTACTGTACGTCTGTACGGCAGAGCACCTTTTTTAAATTGAAGTGAGGGCCTCATCAAAATCTACCACGGGCCGCGGGTTGGACACCACAGCATTAAAGCATTTTTTTTAAGGGTATTACATTCCCAGCCCTACGCCGATACTAATATCAAAATATTTTTAAAAAATATCATAATATGGTAAGTAGGTACCTACTGGCTACTTCACACGTCGTAGGTACCATATTCTTATCTAAAATCAACTTGACGTAGTCGTTTTATATATCTATATATTATGTTGTTTATACGGTGGAACATTACTATGTATTAAAGACACTCAAATTAATGTCAAAATGTTGAATGTTATTTACAGAATAATGATAATTTCGCGGTTAACATTTTGGAGATTGTGCGTGGAAACTGGCAACTATTGCATAATAAAAAACCTAGAATAACTATTTCAATTATTTTGTTGTGAATTGTGATTGTATAATATTATTCGTGGGTACTTGAAACTTCTAAATTATACTAGTACAGCGCCGGCGCAAGGCCGGGGCGAGCGGGGCAGATGCCCCGGGCCCCACGCTTTCAGGGCCCCGCTAGAAATTATTATTTAAAATAAAATAATTTATATTTACAACTCTTTTGTTAAGTTCCATACAGGATTTTATTATCGAGTATAGCTGCATAATATTATCTTGATGTTAGTGGTCGATCTCCGAAATATCAAAATATATTATTGTAGATGAGTTATAAATAAATCGAATTCGTAATTATTTTAAACCTCGATAACGATTCATAAATTTTATTTTCGTAAAAACCAAATGCATGCTACTTGTACTGGATGTCTGTGTGTTTCTGTTATTATTTCACCATTCCACTCACATCAGCTGGAGCAAAGAGATCTTTTTCGAAGCTTAAATTAATAAAAACTTATTTACGGAGTACCATGTCCCAGCAACGACTCACTGGACTAGCCACAATTTGTATTGAAAAAGAACTATCCGAACAGTTGAACTATGAAGAAATTATAAATGATTTTGCTTCCAAAAAAGACAGAAAGAAAATTATTTAGAACTTAAACACTAAAACTAACTATATCAAATATAAATTATAATTGTAAATGTTGACTTGTTATTTTTATGTACTAAAAAATGATTTCAAATTAATTAACTATATTATACTATATTTTTTATTTTGATAATGTTGAGAAGTTTATAAAATAAAAGTGAATTAAAAAAAAAAAAAGGTGGGTAAGTGGATGTCGCTCTGCTGTACAGTAGGTTACAAGTGGGTCACTGTATAATGGATGGTATTAAATTTGAATTCAATGATACAATATCATTGTATAAGAAAAACGATTCTGAGCGAAGACGGTATGTCAGTCTAGGTTTAAGACATATTATATACATATCTATGGTATTAGAAAAAAAATTGACCTATAATAAATTCCAAATTAATCACATCACAATATCCACTAGGTCAGGGGCGTATTTATGGGGGTGGCTGGGTGGGCTGCAGCCCCCCCTGAAATTTCAAGAAAATCCAAAAAATATGAATGTCAATAAAACTTTATTTGTTGGGTAAAAATGCTTGAACATTTAATACAAGGCTCCTGCTATATTGTTACAATAGCAGTTGAAAAATATTAAAAATCCTTAGTCATAGTTTTTTTGTAAGCATTTAAAGTTCGAATCTTGACAAAATACGGAAAAATCACAAAACTTAAAATTTTGCTGAATGTTTTCATTTTTTATGCACCAAAAAAATTTGAAAATATTTTGCCTCTTTTTGAGCTATTTACGGACATTGACAGTTTTCATTTTTCTTGATTTTTTTTTCTATAAATATCAATAAAAAATTTTTGTTGGGTAAAAAAGTGTGAACATTCAACGCAAGGCTCCTGATATATTGTAACAATATTAGTTGAAAAATATTAAAAATACATAGGTTCAATTTTTTCTTATAATCATTTAAAGTTCGAATTTTGACAAAATTTATCAAATTTAAAATGTATTAAATATTTTGTAATTAAAAATTTATAAAATGTTCAACTTTCATAGTTAAGGATTAAAAATTTAAAACAATGGTCCACGTAAATAGGTAAATATATAAATTACTTTATTCACAATAATATCATCAAATATACTTAGTAATATCATAGGCTGACTGACTGTTTTCGCTTAGAATCGTTTTTCTTATACAATGATATTATATCATTGAATTCAAATTTTACACCATCCATTACAGTGACCCACTTGTAACCTACTGTACAGCAGAGCGACATTCACTTACCCACTTTTTTGTTTTATTGTGTGACTATTGATAATTTTGTTCAGCCCCTCCCGAAATAAAATTCTGGATACGCGCCTGCACTAGGTACTTATAACACGTTATACATCAATAACAAACCCTGATACTATCATTGATATATAATATAGTGTACTTTAGAAGTTTCAAGTACCCACGAATAGTATTATACACTCACAACAAAATGACTAAAATAGGTATGCTAGGTTTTTTAATATGTAATTTCGTCCCAAATTTGAACTTAAAATGTCTGTAAAAAATAACTGTGCTCATATATTTTTTAGATTTTTTGGCTACAGTATGAACTATTTATGAGAATCTTTTTTTTAAATTTTCAATCCTTAGCTATAAAAACTGAACATTTTATAATTTATTAATTACGATGGTTGATAATTTTCGAAATTTTGATACATTTTGTCAAAATGCGATCTTTAAATGCTTATAAAAAAAAATTGTGCCTATGTATTTTTAATATTTTTCAATTGCTATTATAACAATATATCAGGAGCCTTGTATTAATTTTTCACATTTTTTGGCCCAACAGATAAAACTT